AGCGGTCTGACGTGTGCTGAGTGGAGTACTTGGGTGTCCATGCGTGAAATAAGCGAGAGGGTGAGCCAAATTATCAGCAGAATGGCGAACGCTTTCCGGGAGGATTCCCATGTTTCAGCGGGTAGAACATTTTTGAGGAGCCAGATAACAAAATTCATTTTGGCATCCCTCTCTTGATGTGTTGCGATCATTTTTAACAATGCATGACAGAAGCATTCACTGAGTCTCCTCCAAGAAACTTATGGACGCACTTTTCGTCATTCAGAAAAATGCCAGACGAAAGACCACTGATTGGATGCATCCACATTCATTCTGGTGCACGGGATTTTGGAACAGGATTTCCCGCTGTCCGCAAAAAGCAGACTTGGGCTTGCAAAAACTTTTGCAAGGTCTGTGACCCAAACCAGAATACAGCATTGGTCCCAAAAGGCAACCCTGGGAAACTCAAATGGACACGAACGTTCGAGAAGTCTAGATCGAAATCTGATATTAGCACCTTGATTCAGTGTAGAATTTTCCCTCACATCATGTAACAATCGAGTGTGTGCAGCAGAAAGACATGTGAGAAGTCGGAAATTATGGTATCCAATGTGAGTCCTTCGTTCTTGGCTTGTTTTAACCCGTCGATAAATCGAAGCATGTTCGTCACACATGGACGGGTCTGTAATAAATCAAAGCATGTTCGTCACACATGGACGGGTCTGTAGAAATCCGTTTTTGCCTGTAGATGTTAAGTTATTGAAATGGGGTGACCTAGATGACTCGCTTCAAAATGCATTTAATTACCTTGGACAACACGCTGGTGAGGCTTGTAGGGCTGTAGCTGCAATGCGTTGGTTTAGGTTTTGTAAAATGGCGTGACAATCACTTTATCCTAAGCAGAGTTAGGGTGGCCTCCGTCAAGCAATTGAAGAAACACCATCTAGAAATAACTTGCCACTGTGAAAGACACTTCCTTCAAGATGCTTGGATGGACCTCTCTACGCCCCACGAGCATAATGTGTTTGTCTTGTGCAAGAGTTAACGAGCGTCTTCCACCGTTAGGACCAAGTCGCTCGGGGGCCGTGTCTGGTCACGCCTTGGTAAGAATGGACGTGACAGGAAGACCAGGGCTGAATAGAGACCTGCATAGTTTTTTCTGGAGACTTCGGATACCACTGTTGTGTTACCGGGTGCTTCCAGTTATCTTGCCTCAATGCGGATGAGGCTGCATTGTTTCGTTGGAGATGCATCATATATTATATCAGCACATTTCTCCTTCTGGGAACGGGGTTCATAATGGTGGCTTGTCTGTACGTTCCTTGGGCGGACTGCCGATTTACAGCAATTCCGCATTCCACAAAATGCCAGCTTATCTTCTTTATCTCCCGTAGTAAACTTTTGGAAAAAAGTGAGACAACTTTTTCCAAATATCACCTTTCGCATCCCTTTAGGTGTCCTGTGGCTTGGTTGAGCACGGGTTGGTTTTTCGGGCAAACATCGCGTCAGCTCCGGGAATCTTT